GAACTGGTAAGGCTTGGCCTGATCTACGTGTGTGGACGCTGGTGCCATGCAGGCTGGTGGTTGCTGCTCTCAGCCTGATGCCAAGATACGGTGATATGGGGACACATGTCTTGCATGCTGCAGTGAATAAGGGACATAGCCAGAGACAGGGTCCTGCAACCTTTTTGGAGTCGTTTCTGGCATCTGCTGTTAAATCAGGGACTCGTTTATGGTGCTAGTCTCAAAGACCAGCTGGAGGGTGAAACTTGTGCGTTTGGAGGGCACCACAGGCCCATTTATTGCATCCAGCCTCAACATGTAGCCCAGGCAGGAGGTGCGTAGGGCTTGGTGTGGCTTGCCCCAGGACTGAGCCTTGGTGTGGACGCAAAGCAAGGCTGTGCGGAAGACTGCTGTCAGGTGGAGAGTGCTGGGGCTCTGCTCGTGGGCTAAGGCAGACTTGCAAACAGTAGCTGGCTCTGATTTTATAATATTCCTCTTTATTGCAGCTCAGGGCCAGAGGAGGGGGAAATCCACGTGGCGTCAGGTGAAGCGTCGCTGGCAGTGGCTTCATCCCACAGCACTGTGGCAGGACAGGATGGCCACGAGCCCAGCGCCCCTCCCGTTAGACAAGCTGTTTCTTTTGGGGCTTTGCACTTCAGCAGCGGGGAGGGAAATGCCGCTAAGAAGTGGGATGCCTTGCTGGCAGGGGGACCGCTCCAGAAGCATCGCAGCTTGGACCTACACTGCACTGGGACCAGGGACCTGCCGCAGAGCCCCAAATCTTCGGGGGCACCTCAGAGGAGCCCCAACACTAAAGCCCCTTTGGCACGAACTAAATCAACACCTTTTGAATTAGTGCTGCAGAGAGAGGCCCGGGGCCCAGGCAGAGGGGAGGCAGCGCCCTGCGGCTCTGCTGGCTTCGGCGGGCAGCCATGGGTAGGGCTCTGCCCCATCGTGCTGAGCCAGTCGAGTAAGCTAGTAAGCAGCCCCTGGCGGCAGGGGACCAGCAGCCAGCACCTTCCCTCCTGCTCCTGCTCAACTGAAGACCCTTATTTTTCCTCGCTGTCCTCGAATGAACCAGCATCCCCGGCATCCTCCGACCGCCCTGCAGAGCTATACGAGACAATTTTCCCTCCCCTCCCCACAGTGCTGCCCTCGGACCCCGTCACAGGCAGCACTCCAGCTCACAGGCCTCTGCCCCAGCAGATTCGCCCGCAGGATGGCATGGAAACGTCCTCGCTCAGTAAGCTGTGGAAGCTGCGCCGGTTTGTTCTGGGGTGTGCCCCTAGGGGCACAGGGCCTTTGAGTCCCCCCCGGACTATGCTGCAGCCTGCTGCACGGCAGAGCCCAGCCCATAGGATAGGGGGTCGGGTGTCCCCTCTCAACTTCAGCA